ATAGATAAGATAAGATAATCTTACCTTGAATGAGTGATTTCTGTTCTAAACAGGTCATAGTCGTTGTCTGGGTTTTGAATTTAATATGTTGATAATTTCGTCATAATACAAATTTTCCGTTGGTATAGATGGCTGTTTAGCCGATTTCATTATAAACATTCAGGTGCTGGAGAACTTCTCTCTCTTGCAGACCTTCTCAGATTTGTTCTTGTTTTTATTAATTTATATAGCACAGTTTAATACAACACTAAGTTGCTCAAAGTGCTTCACAATATCACAATAAAATACGTAACACAAACATAGTCACCAATAAAAAATACACAAATCACAAACAACATAGACACAATTTAAAATAATATAAACCTGCATCACAACAGCCCCTCATTTATTGGATGATATTAGACTCAAAATGATTCATAGATGCACGCACAATAGATGGCAGGCATACCCAAGTGCCCCCTTGGCAATAAAACAAACTCACCCACACCATCTTATATGGGATGATATTAGACTCAAAATGATTAATAGATGCACGCACAATTATCCATGTACTGCATACATTTTATACATGTATCTTACTAACCACAAACAAATGTCTTTCAATTTGAGTCTGTGTAATTCGGGATTAAATGATTGTGCAGTGATTTGTACAAATACAGACATGTTTGTGAATAAAAATGTTCTGTTCTGCAGTAATATATCATAAATTGCTCATGCAAAAAGGAATCCGTGCATATGTGGATCAGGTGACACGCGTGCATTAATTGACGTCTAGTTCGAGTCGATCTTGTTCGGTTCATTTGGATTTTGAAACTTCATTTTCTCAGTTTACAGCATTTCACGTCCCCCCCACACACAACTAATAACGAACAAGGCCCAGTGCAATTCATTATTAACATGTACACAGGGGAGTGGTTGCAACAAAGTGGTTGCCGAGCAACACACAAAGTAAACAAAGGTGTATGTTTGTTCGAACAGCTTCGAACGCGGCTCAACCAATCAGAATCAAGGACCGGAACTCTCCGTTTTATAAGGGATTTTTATGCATAATAGTAACCCTAGAATGTGATCAAACAGTTTAAAATAGCTGGGCGGCTAAGATATATAACGATTTTTATGACTGCAGAAATATGATAATTCAGTACACACATTATCCCACCGGTCACAATTGTGACCGACCATAAAACACAATTTTTCACACATTTTTCAAAAAAAATAATTATTGATTATTTCAAAGGGTTACTAATGACACATCATTTAGATATTTTCATGTCTGGGAATTAATTTGGGATTAAACGGGTTAAGTTTGTTGCATTTGCTGCGAATTCAGTAATATCTATCATTATTTGTTTCTGTCCTGTTTTAGGCCCATTTATACATGTATTTACTCCAATCGAAGGCCCTATAACCCATCAAAACATTCATGGGGGGAACTCGTGGGCCGGATTTGTCCAGGGCCGAATTTTAACCCCAGTCCAGCCCTGGCCACATTTGATTATTAATTAACCCTATGTTTTTTCATCATGTACATATTTGATCACTCAAACCCCTTTATCTAAAACGCTCTACTTAATTTAGTCTCACACATCTGCCATGTGTGGAGGTCTGTGGGGAATATGCACCGGAAATAGTAAACCATAGGGATCCTCATTTCAACATACTAAGATTTGGGACACACTAATTCTAATCTTGAATACTATTTAGTGCAGAACCAGGATGCACCGTTTGATATCAAATAGTGCTCTTGGTGCTGAACTTAAATGGTTGCTAATTTACGCAGAACCTGAATGTGGGCTAATTAACTCCTCTCCTAATTAACATTAAAACATATAGTTCTGTGTTCAGATGTGTTCAACCTATCCAATAATAAATCAGAAGTAAACACTGTAAACAGAAAATTCATTCATTATCAGTTTTTACACATGATTTTCTTCTTTTGCAGAAGCCAAATAAATAAGTAATGGGTATGTAGGCCTAGTGGCTTTTCTATAAGCCATGGCAGGGTGGTAAGTTGTTGTTGTTGACTCATAGAATGGAATAAGAAATGTCCACGAAGTGATGTCCGTTTCTTGACTGGTTAATTTAATGAACAAACAATATTTACAATAAAAGCATGTGGAGCTAAGAACCATGTTCAATACCCGTTTAATGTAATGTGATGCTGAACAGGTGACCTACATCTACTCACCACAATGCATCGCCCTCTAGTGGTGAAATAATTATCACATTTTGGCTCCTATGGGACAAGAAACACTTACTGAGGGAGGTGATGTTGACAATCCTCAGTCTGGAGGACTGTCTTCATTCCAGCTTTTTTACATATTGGCGTCAAATACATTTTTTTGAATGCTCTAGGTCAGCGGTGGTGAACTCCGGTCCTGGAGAGCCGCAGCCCTGCAGAGTTCAGCTCCAACCCTAATTAAAACTCACCTGCCTGTAGCTTCCTAGCAACCCTTCAGACCTTGATTAGCTTGTTCAGGTGTGTTTGATTAGGGTTGAAGCAAAACTCTGCAGGGCTGCGGCTCTCCTGGACCGACGTTCGCCACCCCTGATCTAGGTCATTTTTTTTGTGTATACCATGCAGTCCAGGGTTTGAAGTAACGATTAAGTAATTTTCAATTGAAGTAATGATAAAAGTACCTTTTCCCATGGAACTTTAAACATCACGTCTTCCTCCATTTAAAGGTCTCTCTCATGCAGCTTTTTTTTGTTTGTTTTTTTGTGCAGCTTAAACTAGCTTTTGGTTGGTCTTAGCTGGTCTCCCGGCCTGGTCTGTTGGCTGGTTTTAGAGGGGTTTTGTATAATAAATAAAAAGAAAACAAATAGACAGAATATAAAAAGATTAGAGAAGCAAGTGTTAGTTTTTTTTAAATGAATAGTGTCTAAAATTGACTTTTTTTAAATAATAGAATTAGAATAGAGAGTGCTAGAGTTAATGAAATTGTGATGAAACGATGGGTTTGCTGGAACCACAAGCAGTTCTGTCTTGGCAAGGTTGAGTTGAAGGTGATGGTCCAAGGCGATAGACAAGCTGAGATGCGAGCAGCTATCGTCAGATCATCAGGATGGAAAGAGAGATAGAGTAGAGTGTCATCAGCATAGCATTCTATATTCCATGTGATTAAGCATACAGTAAACAAACTTAAATCTGTGATGTTCAATGCTGATTTTTCAAATAAATACAATATTCCCAGCTGTTTTAATAAGGGTCAGTACTTCTACTACCGACGTAGATTCATTTAGCCCATTTCCATCCATGTATCAGATTTTTTTTGACCTCATAATCAAAATGTCACAACTCATTATTACAGTGGAAATAAGGTGCCATATGCCCGACTTCTCCACTCATCTATCCCCAATCACCAATCCATGCCTTACATTGTTTTTTAATAATCTGTTACACTCAGATGTTCATCACAATACAGAAGAAAAGCTCTGTCGCTACTTCCATTTCATTGCGATTTTATAAGATTTGTTTCTTCATTCACATAAAATCAGTGTTTAGAAGCTGCATATTTGATTTGGTTTCCATTAAGATTTTATTACTGTGCTTGTTTATAAGCTAGAATAATACATGAATAAAGGTCTTGTTTGAATCCTTCATAATTATTGATATTTTATCACTAATTTGCACATGACTGGGCACCTTTAAATAGTCTTCATATTTTAACCTTAACAACTTACATAATCCTCGACAGAAATAAGATCATGTTCATAATTAAATTCACACAGCAATAAAGGAAAACATGTCTTGAATACATCAGTACGTCTCCAGTGATTAAAATCAATCCCGAGAGGACATCCAGAGATAGAGCCATATTTAATGTTTCTGCACACTGGATTAGGCTTCAGATAGAAACATCATCCTGTTGAAATAACAAATAGAGGGTGAATATGCATATTTATGGTAGAAAAAATAAAGATGTGTTATGCTTTCTTTGTGAACATTTTGGGGATATGAATGGAAAGGATTTACTATTTTACTATTATTTATTATTTCATGGCATTTAGCACTCATATTTTACACTTGTTAAATTTACTCCATCCAGTGCATCTGTTTACTTATTTGTCCTCAGTATGAGTCTGAGCTAATTGTAAAATATAGACAAATAAACTGAGCACAGGCATTAGGATTGACGCCAGTGTGAAATCTAGCAATGACTAAGTTCAATCAAAAATGACAAAAAGTCAAATGTTTACACGTACTCTCTTTGGGAAATGATTTTACTCATTTGAGTTGCCTTTTTAAACCCAAAACATGGCATTTATTGCGCCCACTAATAAAAAAAAAAATACTTTTAAGCAATGTATCTTCGGCATGTTACACACACTAGGGACAAATTTACACTGCCGACGTAGATTCATTTAGCCCATTTCCATCCATGTATCAGATTTTTTTTGACCTCATAATCAAAATGTCACAACTCATTATTACAGTGGAAATAAGGTGCCATATGCCCGACTTCTCCACTCATCTATCCCCAATCACCAATCCATGCCTTACATTGTTTTTTAATAATCTGTTACACTCAGATGTTCATCACAATACAGAAGAAAAGCTCTGTCGCTACTTCCATTTCATTGCGATTTTATAAGATTTGTTTCTTCATTCACATAAAATCAGTGTTTAGAAGCTGCATATTTGATTTGGTTTCCATTAAGATTTTATTACTGTGCTTGTTTATAAGCTAGAATAATACATGAATAAAGGTCTTGTTTGAATCCTTCATAATTATTGATATTTTATCACTAATTTGCACATGACTGGGCACCTTTAAATAGTCTTCATATTTTAACCTTAACAACTTACATAATCCTCGACAGAAATAAGATCATGTTCATAATTAAATTCACACAGCAATAAAGGAAAACATGTCTTGAATACATCAGTACGTCTCCAGTGATTAAAATCAATCCCGAGAGGACATCCAGAGATAGAGCCATATTTAATGTTTCTGCACACTGGATTAGGCTTCAGATAGAAACATCATCCTGTTGAAATAACAAATAGAGGGTGAATATGCATATTTATGGTAGAAAAAATAAAGATGTGTTATGCTTTCTTTGTGAACATTTTGGGGATATGAATGGAAAGGATTTACTATTTTACTATTATTTATTATTTCATGGCATTTAGCACTCATATTTTACACTTGTTAAATTTACTCCATCCAGTGCATCTGTTTACTTATTTGTCCTCAGTATGAGTCTGAGCTAATTGTAAAATATAGACAAATAAACTGAGCACAGGCATTAGGATTGACGCCAGTGTGAAATCTAGCAATGACTAAGTTCAATCAAAAATGACAAAAAGTCAAATGTTTACACGTACTCTCTTTGGGAAATGATTTTACTCATTTGAGTTGCCTTTTTAAACCCAAAACATGGCATTTATTGCGCCCACTAATAAAAAAAAAAATACTTTTAAGCAATGTATCTTCGGCATGTTACACACACTAGGGACAAATTTACACTGCAAAGGTGGCACAGAAGTGCTTCTGAAGTGGCATTTAGGTGTCTTAACACAGACTGTTTAATGCTGCTCTGAGGTGGCATAAACGCATTTCCACAGCAATTACAACTGCATGCTTGGATACTAGAGCTGAGTTGGGTCAGAGCAAGCTTAATTGCAGGGCATTGCACCTTTACACATTTTTTTTTAAGCAGGCACAGAACAGCCTTAACTTGGCAGAGTAAAGATGCCTTAGAGACACATTTTAAGGCAACTCGGATGATGTACTCATTTCACATCACTAAGGAGCAATGCTACTCGACAGGTTTTACTCGGTGACCCCAAATTTAGGAAATCTTAAAAATCAATGTGAATGAATGTCACAACAACAGAACTTTGTCTAACTCTTGATTGGTTAACTTAATAAAAACAGCAGAATTCTAACAAATGCAAAAGATCACTCCAACATGAGAAGACACTTTGAGACGCACATGGCGAACAATGCAGGATCTTCACATTAACAACAAGTAAATAAGAAACGGAAAAAGAGCTTTTTCTGTGAGCTTGTGTAAATGTTGGCAGAGATCTAACGGAGTACAGCTCAGGGTGTATCTGATAGCAGTGCATATGCAGCAGTGATATGAATTACACATCAGACCATGTGAAACTGTATTTGCCTACTTAAACATTATAAGAGTGAAACATGTTTAATAAGCAAGTAGTGCCTTCTCAACTGTCCCATCTCTTTTTGTGCTCGAAACAGTGAACTGACACGATTCATTCATCCTTTCACATATCAACACCTAAATCTGTTTAGACTTTGTGAATCTTAGGAAAAAATGTCTGCATGGGGACATTTATTTTTATAAAAATAAATATTTTGCACATGAAATGAAGCCTTTTTGCAATTTTGAAGCGTTGTTTTGGAATTCCTATTATTGTCAGTTGTGATTCTAATTAGTTGCTCAGTGCTGTATATCTTTTACTGCATTACAGAAAAAAAATACTGCAATACAATGATTTTCTAAAAAAAAAAAAAAAATTATCAGCATAGTATAGGCATAACAATTGTAATAATAGTAATTATTTCTAATACATTTAAATTTCTAATACAATTAGTTTTATTGTAAAGGTTAATCCTAATGGTCTGTGTTAAAAAGGCTTCATTTTAATGCAAAATGTAATTTTCTTCTTGTGATTTTGTGGCAAAACAAACTTGTTCTTGATAGGTTTTGTGAGGTTTATTCAAATCCGCCTACCTTATGTTTGAAGTTTATGTTAACTGCTATCAAAAATGTCACCAAAACCACCATCAGTATTGACATTACCCTACTGACATAAATGACTGTATGGTGGATGAATGTGATCAGTGAAAAAAACGATGTATTTGGGTTCAAATTGAAATTCAACTTTCACCTCACCAAACCAACAACAAGATCTTCAAACTTCAGACCCCTGCGTAAGACCCCCATTGTAAACGAACAAAAAAGACTTTGCAGACAGTAAATTTCAGAGAAACAAAACCCCTTAAACCAACTTGGAAGAAGAAAGACTTGAAGGCACCAGTGATAAGTTCACACACGAATTTCAGAACAAATAAAATTCGACTCCTCACCTGCTATCATCCCATCAAAAAACTGAATTAAATACTCTAGACAGATTTTCTTGAGCTGTAAAACTACATATAAAAGATGGGAAAGTCTGCTGAAAGCACGAGATAAATTACATTAAAAAAAACTGTCCTTCAAACATAATTAGCAAATGGTTATTCTGCAAAGCAGAATAGTATTTCATATAAAACAAAATAAATATTTTTTCTTACGTTTTTGGACACAAATCAGTTCTAATTGTGTCAGATTGCGAGAAAAAAATGGCGCTTACTGAATAGTGTCTTTAGAGCACTGGTGCTTTCAGTTCATCAAGAGGTTCATAGAGAGAGAACACCCAAACTGAAGATTGCAGACAACTATTTCCAGCACACCAGAGCCTCCAATTACAGCAGTTTGATGGGTTACCCAAACCAATTATCATCAATTAGTTTCAAGAGGTAAAAATATCTTGCAAGGCAGGATTTGAGAGTTGCGCAGAATGAGAGCAAGAAGAAAAAAGGAGAGGAGATTCACACACACACACCACCCCCAAAAACGGCTCGTCTTCAAGTGTCTTCGGCTATACCTTGCTCCTGAAGAGCGGCTTGGCTCCAGGCCCGCAGTACTCATTGTAGATGAGTTTGAAGAGGAAGAGGTGGAAAAGCGTGATGAGGGACGCCACGCTGAACCAGAAGAGGAAGGGCAGGCCTATGCTGTTCTGTGTCAGCTGCGTCACGCCGGATCGGTTTCCTACCTTGTTGTGATTTGACCTGAACAAAAACAGCGTATCCGTGTGACAGTGACAGCATACACTGTTTACGTCCAACGGATACTCTCTGGTGAGTAATTAATGACATAATTTTCATTTTTGGGTGAACTATCCCTTTAAGAATAATATTTGAGTACTTTTTACACCTCTGTATTTTAGAATTAAGAAGATTTAAAAGTAGAGCAGCAAACAATATGTGGTTTAATTCTAAAAATGTTGCCAAAACAACATGAGGGTGAGTAATTAATGACAGAATTTTCATTTTGGGTGAACTAACCCTTTAAGTGAAAGTACAGAAACTGAGTGAAAATTTTTACTCAATTGAAAGTATCTTCTTGGCCAAAGCAATATCTTGGCTTGGGTGAAATTTAAAAAGTACAACTTTAAATTGTACTTAAAAAAAAAATTGTTTCATAATATTGGATCATCTTCTCAATGTAAAATGTTTTGTCAGACATATGACTCTTCTACTTCAAATGAACACAAACAAAGATTTGTAGAAAGTATAATCCATCTGTAAGAATATAATGCAGGTGTACAGGACGTCCCAAGATGCCACCTTAAAAACTATACAAATGAACACGACTGTAACCCATACAACCCCTGTTAATGAATCAGTGTCTTCTGAAGCGAAACGATGGGCGTGTGTAAGGAAGATACTTCAGGGTGAGTAAATGTTGTGCATTCAGCCAATGTACTACACAGACAGTTAATGGCAATATCCGAACAAACACAAATAATCAATAGGCTTTTATAGGAAAAGCAGCTTTGCTACCTCAATATGCTTTAATGGTGAAATTTTGAAGCCAGAAATTTTCCTGATGTCGGCACTGATAGCATGGTTAGACATATAGCCTAGCGCAACTGCGCTCGCGGCGACCCGAGTTCGAATCCCGTCCTTTGCCGACCCCCTCTCTTCACCCAATGTTTTCCTGTCTTGCTCTCTACTGTCCAAAAAAGCCCATAAATATATCTTTAAAAAAAATGTCCTGATTACAACTGAAGTTACAACTGAAGATGAAACGTGTGTGTTTGATGCGTGAAGACAAACATCATTGGTTCTTGCACGTCATTTTGCACGACAAAATAGAAAATGCAAAAAATTTAACGAGTACTTTTCCAGTTTAAATAAAATTGTAAGGAGTAGAAAGTACAGTTTTTTTCTTCAGAAATGTAATCAAATGAAAATACAATGGTCAGTTTAAATTGCACTTGAGTAAAGTACAAATCCCCAAAAATAATACTAAAGTACAGTAATCCAGTAAAATCATTATAAATTTTTTTTTCCTAAAAGTATTTTACACCCCTGCTCACATGTGAAATGAGTAACCGCACAGACCCTTGGACTGCTGGTTTGCTTATATTATTTGCACTGTCCCATGCAACTTGTATATGTGCAACTGAACGAATGCACAAAGCATTAAATCATTATACTGTAGGCGTTATCTCTGTGTTTTTCTAACAACATGATAGCAAACTGAATTCAAAATAACTTTTCTCTTTGCTTTTACACTGTCTCTGGCCTTGTAAATAGACTCTGACCTCTTTTTAAAAGCTTGAAGGCACGAGTGAAATGTTTACACACACATTTCAGATCAAATCCTCATGAACTAAACATTATTTTAAGCTGTTAAACTTGAACATATTAAATATAAGGGAGTCTGATTGTGTTCATGAGATAAAATACATCCTAAAAAACTGTCCTTAAAGGAAAACAAACAGCTATTGTGCAAAGTGGTATAGTATTTTTTTCAGATTTGTCTTGACATGTAAGCTGTCCCTGGCCTTGTACATTAAGTTCACGCAAATCTCATTTTAATTAAAGTTGCTGTGCTAGGTCGCCTGTCCTCCTTGTTTTTGACAAAACTATAAGAAATAAAGAATGCCAAAAGAGAATTGTAGAAGAGATGTAGAATATGACAAAACTTTACTTTCTCAATAAATATAAAGGACTTTTTGTAACCTATAGCTCTGTGTGGGCATTCACATGGAGAGTTGGCATATAAAACAAAAATCAGCTCACATATTTGTGCAAGTATGAAGAGCGCTTACTCGCTTTCTGTCGCATTTGAGCGATGGGTCAAAATGAAGCTTAATGAAGCTCAACCAATCAGACTTGCATCTCAGACCTCATCAGTTTTTCCTAACTTGTTGTTTCTAATCAGCAGCGTTTACTGTCAAAGGTCAATCTGAGACAGGCTGCTGGCCACACACTCTTAAATATACAGCTTCTTTATTTTTCTCCCATGAAGAACCTTTAACATCCATGGAATCTTTCCATTGCACAAAAGGTTCTTTATAGTGAAAAAAGTTTTTTTAGATGTTTACAACCGAGTTTGGGCAACCTATGGCATCACTGCAAAAACCTCCTTTTGGAGTGCAGTGGCTGGTAGAGAAGCCCATTTTCCTGACACACAATACTCATTTGGCTAGTGGCAGTTTCTAAATGGTGAGTGGCAGTTTCTAGTTTCGTACCCCCGGTTTCACAGGCGAGGCTCAAGACTAGTCCCAGAGTAAAATGCATTTCTGAGCCGTTTCAACAGAAAGAAATTTGCACTGACTGATCTTAAAATATATCAGTGCCATTGTTTTGTCTCAAGATGCACACCAGTAATGATGTTTTTTCTTTTTTTTTTTCTATACGTTTATAAAAATGTCCTAATTGAACTATGGCCTAATTCTGGTTTAATCTAAGCCCTGTCTGTGAATCCAGGGGACAGTTGCATAAACTTAGCCTATATTAAGACAGTGTCTTAAGAACTAGTTTCACCAGCTAGCAGTTAACTAAGGGGTAACCAGTCTTATATTTTGGATTCAACTTAGACTAACCTAATTTTATGTAACCGAATTTAAAAATGTTTGACCAGTCTTACTCTTAAAGAAAAAAATTAGATGATTAACTTTTAAAACTAGTTTATGCAACCGGCCTTAAATTAGCAACATTTTTAATACTTCTTTCTTTCTTTACTTTTTTTTTCCAGGGGGGAAAAAGGTTTTGAGTTAAAAGTAAAATGCACTGTTTGTCTTCATAACACACTGAACACTTCTAAGCTTAAGAAAAAATTTAATTTGTCTTGATACGACCCCTACGGTTTATTAAAGGGATAGCTCATCCAAAAATAAAAATTCCAAACCTGTATGAGTTTCTCTCTTCTGTTGAACACAAAAGGAGATATTTTGAAGAATGCTGCCAAACAGTTGCTGGTAGCCACTGACTTTCATAGTATGGAAAAGAAAAAATACTAACACAGTGTCCTTCTTTTCCGTGAGCACCCGGCCCGAGGAGAGCACAAGCTCCTTTTCCTCCATCTTCTCCACGGTGCTCCTAAACGACAGAGACTCCGTGGCCAGGTCAACCGAAAGCGGACGGTCTGTAGGGTTTGATATGTGAATCCTCTGAAGATAAACATTGGGTCGACTGCGATGCGCAACAAACTCCTCTCGTATGATGACGCAGTCGTGAGAAGACGCTGTCAGGATGCACCGGGAGGACAGAACAGAGCCTTTTCTGTACCACAGCATCATTCCCCGGGCTTCTGAGCCCGTTCCCGGGATCTGCATCCGCACTATCGGCCCGTAGTCTGTTTGGTGAACCGGTGCGGAGCCAGGCTGTGAAGATGAAGCTACCCAGAGTTTGTTAGAGTCCACATCCACCAGAAAACGTCCATTACCGACCACAAACGGGACGGTTTCTTTGGTCTGGGGGGTGAGAACCACTCCCTCCCCTTGGTCCACCAACGACACCCACCTGTGAAGATCAGTCTGCAAACAAACCCCCGCAGCTCCTCCAGACTCCCTGGACATGCTGAGAAACCTCAGGAGCCCATCTGAGCTCAAGTACCAGTAGAAAATGAGGAAGAGCAGTAATCCAACCAAGACACGGCGGGCCCAGCTGCTCGAGAGCAAACCAGGCAGCCCCTTTAACCTCTGCTGGAGCCACATGGTCTGTCTTCTGCTCCAAATGCTCTTTGATGGACTGAACATAAACGACTGCTGTTTTCCTCAGTCGAGGGCGATCACTGCAGCGGGCATCAGTGACTTCCTGACAGCAGTACAAGCTGGGAGCGGCAGACAGCTCTGACAGGCATAACGTTAGTAGTATATTAACTTATCAAGCTTAACTTCAAGAGCAACACGCGCGGAAAAAGGTTGAAGTAATTTCTTCTGTCACAGAGTTGTGGAAAACCCTACTTCCTCATTAAAGAGGCAAACACTTGAGTGTCGATTTTCCGTGCAAAACCAACTCCAAACATTTGTTAAACGAGCCAGTTGTATCTGCAAAGAGTTGCCATGTATTGCAGTGCTGTAGTTGCTGTTATCAGGCTAGTCAGCTGACTAGTCAAAACATTTCTGCTCGCCCATTTCGCGTTAACTTTGCCGCCTCGAAGCAATGTTTGCGTCGCGTAATCGCGTGTTTCTGCTAGAGTTGAGTTATTTCGACGTCGTTTGTTTGTTTTATTTGCTGTGTGTACATGTCACCTCTCAGCCAGCTGACACCTCTGTTTGTGGAAGACCAACAAGCTGCCGTAAAAATACCGGAAGTGTCGAAGTCCAAGACCTGTCGTAGTTTAAACTGGACTAAGCGCTGCTCTAGGATCAGCCCTTAGCAGCACGTCTGAAGTAGTAATGGAAGACAAAACTGATCCTGGACCAGTATGTAAGACTGACCTCGCAACTTTGAAACGGCTTTACGGCACCTAGTGATGACTGCTGCCTTTGCTGTTTTTTGAGCTGTGTGTGTGTGTGTGTGTGTGTGTGTGTGTGTGTGAAAATAGTATCTGGGAAAAAATAAAAACTTTTTTGGGAAAAAAAGGAAAGAAATAAAGAGTGCAGTATTTACTTATTTTGTGTAACCTATTTGTAATGTGCACAAAAAAATAATAAACATGCTGCATGATTTTTTTTTTTAGATAGGCCTACCAATAATTGTAACTTTTCTAAATTATGGTTATCGATTTTTTTGTGACATTTGATAAATGCACTTAATTTATTCAAATGATTTCTGAATGCTTATAATATCAAGAACTTTCCTGAGCTAAGAAGAAGAGATTCTCAGCAATTGCAACCTGACATTGTATATATTGTATTGTATATTGTACCAAATATTGTTGACCCTATTGTAAATTGTAAATGTGGTCATGGATTTATTATCATTAGTTAGTCTGGCATACTTTGTTTTCCTATTTATTATCACTGTACCTTGAAATTCAGATTTCAGATTTCAACTGGAAGGTTATAAATGTTCATAATTAAAAGGTTCATAATAGGCCCCATGCCAGGTTAGCACAAGTTCTCATATGTTTGAAATGTTATAAATGTATACTAATTAAAATGTAATCATATTAATATAATATTCAAGTATTGTGTTTTAAATGATGTTTGCTGAAAAAAAAATTACTTTTGCTGAAAAGCCTATAATAATGTGTCTAATTTCAAGTTCCTTTGTGACAGCTAACATAGGATGACAACACATGTTCAACAAAATGTATCTTTTGCTTGTTTTTAAGACAAAACTTTAACTTACCATGAGAAATATTATAAAAGCAATTATTAATTATTATTATTATTAAATATTAACTGACATAATTATTATCTATTTTTAGTATTATTATTTATTTCCCCCCCCAGTTAATTTTAAACACAAATTGAGACAGACATAGTTGTCACACTTTTGTATTCATTTCTCAGAGTAAGTTAAAGTTTTGTCACACACACACAAACACACACACACACACACACACACACACACACCGTGGGCTCCAGCTTCTCTGTAGGCTGCGTGTGGTCAGGGGTCTTCTGGTGAAGAGGGGCGGGGAAAGGCAGAAGTGGGCAGGCTTGTGTTTGTTCGGGAACGTACAGCTAACTTTCTCTGGAGGAAAGTCTTATTTCATCAGTCGCCGTGTTGCTGTGGAGGTCTGCAGAAGAATAACGGGTCAGAAATGAGAGGAGTCCCGGTCGATGGGCAGTTAAGCATTGAGCTTGGCAATAAAGTGCAACGTTTTCTATCTATACAGCACAAAATCTCATCTAAACACTTTTGATTAATCGTTTAATTTGATCAACTCATCTGCTTATCAACATTTGAGAGATGTAGTCAGTCAAAACAGTTTTGATGTCTAATTTTGTGTGTCTGGAAAATAGTCATCTGTCGACTTACAGTGCATTCAGGCTATACATTTTTTTTTACCAGTATGTAAACAACACCAGATATCAGTGCAGATTAGCTCGGTTCCCTTACGATAGCGGTTTTATTGTAGTAAAATTGTAGTAACCCTGTTTTTTTTTTTTTGGCGTATTTATTACTATTTGTAAAATCACAGTTTTACAACAAATACCATGGTTAAACTATGGTTCGTGTAGCAAAACCATTGTTGATTTGGTTTATCTATGGTAACCACCTTTTTTTTTTTTTAATTTGTAGTGAAACCATGGTGATAAATTACAGCAAATTACACTAAAACAACGCAAAAAGTTCTCAGATTTCTCAAACTGTAAATAATAGCAACAAAAATGCGAAATGTGAGCGCAACAAAGCACGTTTGTTACATTGTAGCTACACGCTCGTTTCCTCCCAGCCATATATTTTGAAAGTAACCTGGAATGCTGGAAGTGTGAAAAAGCACACATTGTACATATGATAGAAAACGCCTAAAGAAGTCTTACTTTCGCAGCAGAATTAGCTTTCTTGCGCCAGTGTGTAAGAGTACGTTACTATTCCAGCTGTGCCTTGAGTTCCTGTCTGATCCTCAGAAGAGAGCAGTGGATGTGGGATACCCATTAGGATGTGCTCGTCCAGCACGTACACAGAGTAACTGCACGTTTGACAAACACTGCTGTGTATTATTCACACCGAGTTGTGTTTTCTCTGTCTCAGGAGATCTTCTAGTGCTGACTGTGGCCACGCAGGAGACCGATGGCTTCAGGCGCTTCTTGAGATCCGCAAAACACTTCAATTACACCATCAAGGTGAAGCACTTTATCAGCAGTTACTGTTTTGAAATAGTAGTTAATAAATATAATTTGGTAATGGGCAGTTAAGCATTGAGCTTGGCAATAAAGTGCAACGTTTTCTGTCTATACAGCACAAAATCTCATCTAAACACTTTTGATTAATCGTTTAATTTGATCAACTCATCTGCTTATCAACATTTGAGAGATGTAGTCAGTCAAAACAGTTTTGATGTCTAATTTTGTGTGTCTGGAAAATAGTCATCTGTGACATTGGTTTATGTTGACTGTCAGAGTTTGTGTCTGTTTGTTAATGAGGGATTTGTGGACACGTCAATGTGTTAGATTTGTGCAGTAAAAGATATCATTTTTATTTTGAAGTAAAAAGATCAAATTAAACCCTTGAGGTAAGATGGGCCCCTAGAACTGGCACAGAAGGACCCGAGTGGCATGCTGGTAGTGTTATTAATTTGAATACTTTTTGTAATCAATGGGGTTATAGGCTAAATAATTAAAATCATTCAGTTTAGTGTTGCATTTAGGACTAATCCTGAGCAATTAAATATGTAATTATTCATATGCCTGTATATATGTCATAGCATAAATGTACTTTTCAGATGAATCTTTTGTACTTGGCTTTTGCTCTGTTTGTCGTCGGTTATTCAATTATTCAACTAAATTGTCAAAATACAATTTTAAATTGAATAGTAGATGTAGTATTTTAATTTCCTGTAATAACACCTTAGTTGATGCATCATCATCCTGTATACTAAACTTGCCAAAAATATAATTCTCAACATTGCTATAAATCATAATGCATAAATCATTACTACTGTACCTTTGATTTATTCTGATGTATATAAATATGTCATTTTCATTCTATTAATCTAGTGTCGTCCTGTCACATACAGCAGATATTACCATGATGCATGGTTAAAATCCAAAAACTAGGCTTACTTTTCGCAACAAAAGTGTTATTTCTTATGTTTTTTTTCTTGATTTCAGGGTTAAATATGATCTTGACATTTTTGTTAGATGCACCCTATATAACACAGTTCACGGCCTTTAATCTGCAGACATTCCTCTGCTGTTTTTTAGGTTCTCGGGAGGGGTGAAACATGGAGAGGTGGAGATTACATGTCTCCTCCAGGTGGAGGGCAGAAGGTGCGCCTGCTGAAGTCTGCTCTGGAGGACATACAGGACGAGAACAGAGTCATTCTTTTTGTGGATAGGTACTAGTTATGTCCATCATAATTATTCCTGCAATATGCTGATTTGTCTGTACTGTCTCAGCGATCAGTGTTGATCATTGACAGTAACGATTGTTTATGCTTGGGCTTTCCACAGCTATGACGTGATCTTTTCTTCTGGTCCGAGAGAGCTGCTGAAGAAGTTTCAGCAGGCCAAGCACAGAGTTGTGTTTTCTGCCGAGACGCTCATCTGGCCGGACCGTCACCTGGAAGACAAGCATCCTCATGTCAGAGAAGGGAAGAGGTTCCTTGGAGCAGGAGGCATGTATTCCTCTCTTGTTCTGTTACCGTTACTCAAGAGCTTTAGATGTACTGTTAGCTCTGTTAGCTCAATTCTGTGTAGTTCTGGATTCATAAATGTTATGAATCATTATTCACACAAATTTCACGTGATATGATACGAGTTATTGGTGTGTTCAAGTTCTCCTGGGACGTTCATTTAGTGGTTGGAAATGAATACACAACATTAAATCTCCTTAGTTGGCACAAGATGTCAATGTCCTTTTCTACAAACAAATACAGCACTATTTTTTTTTTATTCTACTTCTAAAGGATGAATGAAGAATGTGCATCAGTGTGTTTTTGCTTTTTTATGTTTTTATTCAACATATGAAGGTGTGTAACCTGATTTATTACATATTTTTATCATAATTGTGCAATACTATAATATTTTGTATATGCAATTTTGCTAGTTTTATTGTAAATGAAACAAAAAAACAAAAACAAAATTACAGCCAACTCAGAAACTGGAGCTCAAAGAAAATAAAGAGTTCCCCCACTCATAATTATGACATGACGTCATAATTATGGTGTTGATGTGCGTTCATCTCATAAATACGATCTTTCCAACATGCATCATATATTTCACCACAAAATCAAAAGAGTAAATGAATACATTTGATTATATTTAAATACAAAGAGGCTCATTTTAGGACCATTAAGATCACGTTTTATTATTGTAATACAACAGTACAAAAAAAAAAAATGGTCCTGTTCAGTATACTATTAAAATGTCTTTGAAAAATCATTACAATTCAAACTACATATATATACAATTATACTTGACTTTTCTGATTACAGTAGGTGCTGTAATTGGGTTTTTGTTTATTTCAAAGCCCTAAATTCAGCGATTATGAAATGATTAGTTTAACAGTGGATGAATGCTAAAGTTTTGGAGGCAATGGTGCATGGAACAGAATGGAAGCAAATCATTGCATGTAATAATCCCTTGTATCATCACCAACTAAATCTCTTTTAACCTTGTATATTCTAGTCTTTGTAGAGAGTTAACTTTACCAAGAAAGAACTGCTTTACTAA